GTAAGCGGCGAGGATTTCAACGAAAAGTCAGAACTGCTGCACTTTGGCAACTCCGAAGCCAAGTCATGTTTTTTTTGTGCCAGTTTTTGGGCACGTTTCAGCATTGCATCTACGATCAGGGAAGAGCCATTTTGTGTAGCTAGGGCAGGGCATATATATATATATGCTTTTGAGAGGCAAGGGTAAGTGTTAGGTTTTGGGTTTAGGAGTTTCGGGCTTAGGTGGAGGGAAACTCGGAATCTCGGCCATGCCAGGGTTTAGGGTTTGTGTTTCGGGATTTGAGACTTCAAAACTACTTGAGGGTCCAATGTGAACAACTTGGGTTCATGCTCTCTCGAGCCTGGCATATTTGCGCTTGGAGTGGTGGTACTGACAAGGCTCCCGGCCATGAAAAATCACATCGCATTCTATGCAGAGAAATCACTCAGCATCTATTCCTCCAACTCTCGTTGCTCATCGATCGGCCAGTACACACGTCGTGTTCAGCACGACTGTGAGGCAGGCTTCCCACCCCTACCCCTATAGCACTGCTCCCTATGCAAGTGACCGGAACCGCAGACTTGAGTGTACACAGGTTTGTCATTCCTGCCACATGCCTGGAGCAGGCTCGAACGTACTAGGCTTGGTATGTGCACCAAGCGAGCAAAAACACATCGGATATTGACATGTCCCAGCTGAATCATCATATGGAGCACTGACTGCACTAGGCTCGGGGTCTAGCTGTCCTAGGTTCGCATGGGATTGTATATTGATTACAGTTCTTGGCTGTCGGGACACCAGTATAGTAGTAGTCGATCAAGGAGCAGCGGCAGCAGCAGTATAGAAGTATGTAGAGCAGCAGCCAGGCTTTAAAAGGTAGTTCGTGCCCAACAAACACACACCCCACACTCTATAAACCTAAAAACCCAAAACCCTAAACCCGGAATTTTAAACCATTTACTTTAAGGCACTTGCCCCAAACCCTAAACCCCCAGCCCGATACAATATAAATCCTCTCGAGCTGACCAGGTGCAGTTCAGGACAAACCCAGGATTCATGAAAGACTTTCGGATTTGGAGGCCACGGGATGTAAGTTTAGATTGGGGTAAGCTATATAAGGCCCAACTTAAGCTAGTGTGATTCAGCTGGTCATGCAACCGCTGATGCCTTCTCTGGCGGGGCTCCTTTGGACTTCGCCTTCTTCTTGGGCTGGGCCACACGAGCCTCGGAAGAAATCCTGGGATGCGGAGAAAGGGTTTAGGGTTTTACGTAAGGGTTTCAAGGTTTTGGGGATTGTTGTACGAAGCTACAATCGTGGTTTTAGGCTTTATGCTTTTCAAAGGCCGCTAGGAAACTAAGCACAGGCAGGTTTCAAGTTCGATGCCACCCGTTGGTGCTTCTTGAAAGCCTCCACAAAAGGTGCCGCCTTAGATGGCGAGCCCAAAAAACGATTTGATTTCGCCTTTGTGATAAAACAACTTATTCTAGGCAGGTTGCTCGAGAGGTGATGTGATGCACGTCCGGAGCCTTTGGATTCTTACCCAGCCCCTGCAAGCATTTCCTTGCGTCGGCCATCCCTGCGATGCTATCAGATATGAGCTTGATAAGCTCGCCTTGGCTCTCCAGAGCCTCAAGCCTCGGATGAACAGTATTATGTGTCATCGGCATAACGAACTGCTAGATAAGACTGTTGCAGGTCTAGCCACTCACCCTTCATTGTCGTTGCTTTACCTTCTGCCGCCGTACAAGCTTGCACCCACTAGTGCACAAACTCCCCAACATTCTTTTCGTCCATGATCGTCGCTTCAAGGTCGGCCCCCTGAAGCAGAACCCACGTACTCATGATTGTGGGGTCTGGGCTGATGTGGAATGTACCAGGGTGTACAGGGTTTAGGGGTTAGGGTTTTAGGCTTAGGGTGTAGGGTTTAGGGGTTTAGGGTTTAGGGGTTTAGGGTTTAGGGGTTTAGGGTTTTGGGGTCCGGGTTTTGGGTTTTGGGTCATTTAAAAAGGGAGATGCGTCTTTCTGGATGCTAAAATAGAATGAAGCAGATCGAGCCTGGGGTTTCGGCGCTTTGGCTCTTCTTTTGCTTGGGAAGAACTTGGGTTTCTTTGGGAGCAGGCGGGGGCGGCGGAGCAGCTGCATCCGGGGCCGCTCGAGGCGGCGGGGGAAGTGAGGGAGCTCCTTGGCCGATAACATTGCCTTTCTCGAAGGACTCCATCAGAGAAGCAGCATACCGAGGGTCGCAACCGAGGTCGCAGGATATCTCGTCCTTAATTCTGGTTTGGGAATTTCAGGGATCGAAGTGGGTATGAGGTATGTGTTCACAGCTTAAGATTAAAGACGTAGCCTGGGCACCAGGGAGCGGGTCGTCAGCGTTCTTCTCTCTCGGCCGTAGTACAGAAAGGTCTCCACAGTGGGGTCGTTTCTGTCCCAGGAGGTCCTGAGCTTCAGCAATTATT